TAAGGTATCTTTTACTGTATTCCATTTTGGGCACAGTTTTCCCATCTTTATGTTTATGTATATGTTTCTATAGCCTCCTTCCTTCCTTCCTTCTTTATAGATGAAGTAATTTTCCTCCTATTAATTGTATCATAGATTAAAAAAGGACACATAAGGCCACAGCGGTGGGTTTAGGGAACTAATATACGTGATTAGTCTTTAAAGAACATTGTTTCATATTTTCCCTATGTCTAAAATTATGGATGAAATACCATCCTGCAGCCAAAATCTAACTGCTTAACAAAAAAGGGGATAAAACTTGTCCTTAAAGAATCTGAACGTATGATGGGAATGTTTGTCACTTCCTCCTGCATGACATTTGGCTAGATGCCTGCCTGCTTCATAGTTGCAAATCCGCACGGCCACCGAATGATAAAGTTGTCTGTGTTCAAATCACAATTTAAATGTTGTTAGCTGCAATGTAAACTGAGTGCTGGTGACAGCAGGTCATTCATTATATCTGACCACTTGAAAGTGAATAAGCCATATTTACACAGACTTTACAAGGACCTTTAGAAATAAGAGAGGAAGATAAAAGCAAGAATCATTTACAATATGAGCCATCCAGTCAGTGCAAACAAGGATCCCACCACACAGATAAGTACAAATGTTTGCTGTGGGCACCATGTACCTTTTAAACTCAGGCACCGTCTCAAAATAACAGAGGTGACAGACAGCCTGCTGATATTTAAATACCAATAAAGGTGTAATAGTGCAATAGTAACGCATTCTGTGCTACTCCTTTCAAGTGAATCTAAGCAGCTTACAAGCCCTGCTGGCATCATTATCAAACTACTTAATAGACTAATAAAGGCACACACCCAAGCTGAAAATATAAAAACATAACATCTCATGAGGGATGGAGACTTTTATTATATAGTACAGCCTCTGCACTCGCATCTCGGACAAAGATATTCCACTTGGAGGAGGCAGTCTCATAGACAACCAGTCCCCAATCCATATAAGAAATCAATCTGTCATTACAAATCTACCTCCCCTAAATCTACTTCATTTGAAAATTTAAAAATAGCAAAAGGTAAAAATATACCCACAATTTCAGCAAAATTCCTGGTGTTGTCATGGACACAACCATATTTTTGGGGGGCAACACTACAGAAATGGGTTGCCAGTGACTTATTTTGTGATGTTTTTTAATTTCTCGTTCTAGACTACAGCCCTAGATTTCTCTGATGGTCTCTAGCGACCATGTTTAGCTTCTGAGCCTAGGCAAGGTCAGTAGGTATGCATAAAATATGTATGTTCTATTATCCAAAGATGCATCATTTCTGCAACTAACAATGAGAGAGGGCTGTGAAAAACATATGACAGACAACGCTACCCTCTTTCAGTGGGAGCATTTAACTCACATCTTTTGCTTTCAAACAGAAAAGTTTGTTTTCTGAATTATGAGGCTGAATTATGAGAATAGACTCCTTGAATGATTGCCTGTGTAAATAAAACAAATAAAATCACCCTCATCACAGACTGAAATCTAGCATGTCTGGAGGGGGATTCTAAGCCACACTTTACCAGTCTAACCATAATTATTTATTTATTGGATTTATTTTGTAGAGGCATTCAAAATAGGATTCCCCACTTGCAGTATAGCATGACACATTCCACTCAGTCACATTGCAACAAATCCCAACAATTCCAAAATGATTCCATGTGCAGTGTAAATGCCGTCATTACATACTTGTGTTGCAACACCTGATGAAAGTACATAAGCCTTTGCATGATGACATTGTGAATATTTCATCATTTTCTCCCTAGCAATGCCCATGTTTTCACTTCCACTAAACAAAGCAAATTTAGTGCGGAGATAATGGACCAGGGAAAATACAAGTGGCGAGATGTGCTAAAGAGAGGGATCTCTCTCTCGTGTTTCCTGAAGCTCTAGTACTCACATATGCTACTAGATTTTTGGCATTTGAGGATTATTAGGAAAAATTACTTGTTCTTCTTTCCTAGTTTAAATACATTCATACATATTTGTATACCTGAAGAATATATTTTGTCCCTTAGGAATTTTAAGAAGAATGTATGAAAGGAGAAATAATGACTTTTATTTCCTATTTATGTTGTTTGTTTCCCATGCTGGAGGCCCCAGCTGCTTTGGAAATGATCAGTATTCTGGGGGATTATCTGATGCAGGGGCACAGAATATTAGATCTTTTTTTACTTCCTCTGATTTTACTGAATGGGGGAATCTTTGCTGGCACCTCAAAATCTCTGTATGGGACAGGAGCCTCAGAGCAGATAAGAGCATTCAAGTAGTGCAATTTTTCCCCCAATCACTTCTCCTATATTTTGCTGAAATAGAATTTGCTTTTAAGAGGAAAAATCATGTTATTCTTGCAGTTTACGTGCAGAGCAGTGAACGTATATATATCAATGATCTATCTTTTACTATACAATCATCTTTCCAGCAGCTTGCAGCTTTCCTAGTTTCCCATGCTTTGGTTAGATCCCAAGGGAAAACTTTATAAGGAACACCTCCCATAAAGCTTTTCTCAGATTGGGAAGTGTGGGCTGATAAGGAAGTTTCAGTTATGAAAAGCTGCATAATAGAAAACCACAATACAAGCAGTAGCACAATACTATTGTATCACTTCCACCAATAACTGAAGCTCAAAAATTCCACTAAGAGATGTTTGAAAGAAATTTTCAAGCTTCTGAGACTAAGGAAGAAAAACAAATGTGTCTTTTGCAGGAAAAGTAAACTTGTGAAAAATGCCAGGCAGATTTCAGCATGACATTAGTGGAAACATCTTAGCCACTGAGACTGCTGTGAGACAAAACTCAGTCTAGGCTAACCATCTGTCATGTTGTATCTCTGGCTAAGAGAGTGGGATGCTGTCATTATTCCTCTTTACCTCCAAGGAAGAAACAACAACTCCATTCTGTCCTCACTGTGTGTCCCAAGGATTCTCACGTACAGGAGTGTTGGGACAGAAGAGTACGACATTTTTAATTCATGGTGAATCAGTACAACAAAATGCAAATTCCTGCACTCTGTAATGCAACCCAGGGAACTGGGGAAAATATTCTGGGGCAAAATATAGCAACTTAACTTCTTCAGTAAATTTCACAGATCTAAGCAACAATTGTTGCACCTACCTGAGGCCAGAAAGTAAATACAGGCATATTGGTATATACAAAGGCCTCTCCTTGGGACCACATTCCAGATAATACACAGTCACAAATTGTGGCAGATTTGGACTACTAGTCTTTTATTGGCTCATGTCATATGTTCTTCTGGTTTCACATTTCCAAGTATGCAGCACATGTGCTTAATAAATACACCCACGTTTAAGCTAGAGGGACTCTGGAGACCCCTTGAATTGTGACATTTTCACAAGGCTGCTGCCAGCTCACTGTTCCTTATTTCCCGGGATACTCTTGATGTACTTGCAACGACACTGACAAGCTTGAGCTGCAGAAGTTTCTCCATCCTTTCAAACTAAGTGGAAACAGATACTTTAAACACATTCCTTAATCTGACTTATACCAGGCAAGTTTCCTAATGGTACAGTAGGTAACCAATATTGTTGCCAGTTGATTTATATTGCCTGTCAAAGGGAAGTAATTTTATGCTCTCAGGTGAAACCTGTTTGCTGATACTCTTGGCCAAGCACATCCCTCCAATCCGCACAGCAGCTCTTATGCACGCCTTTGTGGTTACGGAATCAGTTTCTTTCATACATGCTCATTTCCAAGGCCCATGGGGCATATTAATTTATATGCAGTGTTGCAGTCCAAAATTCAACAGCACATTATTCTTACCAGCTGCAAAGCCCTTCATTTTCTACCAAGAGTTATGGTGGTATGTAGCCGGCCTATAAAATATTATTCAGGGTGATGCATCTTTTATATAGCATGGATCAAGCTGCACAAAGCTGCATTTGATCTGACTTTGACATGTGAACCGGTTTATACAGGTTGAGCTGATGTTTCAGGTATATAACATGACGCACTCTAGAATGCTTCCATAAAGTGTTGTAGAAGAAAGCAACTTGTTAAGTTTGAAATGCTATTGGTTTTCAGAAGTTTAGCAGGACAAGAATTAGAATTAAATGAAAGAATATTCAGACCAGACCATGAAAAAGCATTCTTTATCAAGTTCTTTGGAACTGTGCTATTGCTGTTGCTCATGACAACTGAAAGACTTTCACCATGCAGAATTTTGTGATCAGCAACCATTTCTGTGTTTATTATATTTCAAAATGTGTAATCTATGCAAGGTCTGCATTTTTCTATTCATATACGGATAGGCAGGCAGTTAATCGATGGTAATATTTTCAGTGTCTAAGAATATATTTATGATGTTAGTAAGATCAATCAGAAAGCGTAAGAGAGGACAGTTTAGCCAAATGCAGCCTGGAGACTTTCATTAAAAGTTGAGCAGGATCTTCACTGATCACATCTAAGGCAAGTTTCTATATCTGTTCCCCTTATTCATCTAACCATTGTGATCTCCAGTCAATTCCAATTGTTTCCTCTCTCAACAGATTAATGAAACCTGTATAAAGCTGTATGCCACAAAGGACAAAATCGTTGGCCAAGGGATTCTGAATACAGCATACTACAAAACTGATGTATGCTGATGTCTGAAAAAGCATAATTTCAGACTTTCATTTAACTACTTTGTCCACGTGAGACAGCAGCAGTGCATGTTCAACGTTACATGTGATTCATCAGAAAGCAGTTCCATCTACATACAGTTTGTTTTTGCTTTGTCTATCCAAAGCATTACCTTCATATAAAAAGAATATCCTGAAGGACATTTTGCAGAAGTTGCTGGATATGCAAGGATGCAATGATAAAATCAAGCTTGTTCCACAGGCAGAATGGCCCTACCTGGGATAATTCTACACAAGCTTGTTCTACAATTACAGTTTATCTCCTTCTGGCCTGCGCTCTTGTCTGAGGTTAATGATATTCAGAATTCTGTGACTTACTGTGAGATGTGAGTTATTGGAGTCAGCAACGTCTCACCCTCCAGGTCAAGTTCATCAGCAAAGCTGTTTGTTCTAATGAATGTTCCTGTATGTGCCTCTAAAAATGGCGAGTTCCTTTTAACTGTGGAAGAAAAACATGCAAGTAAAGGTTATCTATATCTAAGGGCTACAAAACATTTTAAAAGCTTTTAAATATCTGAACAGATAATGTAGAGAAAATAGTTAAAAGGCAGAATCAAATGTCAGGTTATAATATGTGTTTTGTAATGTGAGTTTTGTATTTGAGATTTTTATTCTTGTAAGCCTCCCGGAGTCACCGTGAGTGAGTTGGGCGGCCACATAAATTGCTTAAATAAATAAATAAAATAAAATATGAAGCAAATGGTACACCTGACGAGGTGCATACAAAGAAAAGGAGAGCATGAGGGTTTTTTAATGGTTGTTTTTGCTTTGGAATTATGGTATAAAATGTCTGTCCTTGTAAACTATAGAAAATTACTCAGGAGATTTTTTTCTGTTGTAATATAGAAAATGGTGCTTTGGGATTTAGATGCAAGAGGACTCTTTATATTAAGCAAAAGCAAAGAACTATAATGAAAACATATATATTTTGCTTCAACAATAGTGGGTATTACCATACAAAAAAAAAAGCATAGAGTTTTGAATTTCTACCTGGAATATTGGTGTGTGTGTGTATGTGTGTATTTATATACACACACATACATACATACACACACATATACATTCATATGCATATACATACATACACTACATATACATGACATATATACATTCATACATACACATACACCAATCAGGACTGTATAGAGAGTCCTGGAAAATGCTTTAGGACTTTTCCCACAAAAAGGGGAAGCCATCTTTTATATAAGAGGACTGGCTAGACTCTGCTCTATCCTCTATTTTAACCCTGTCAAAATCCATAAATTGAAATGGAGAACCTCACAGGTGCTCCTTGTCCTAAGAACTAAACAGAACTGGTGACCAAATTAGTAACAGCGTATCATGCATCAATTCAACTTTCATTCCCTTATACAGGAATTATGACACAGTTTCTCTTTGGTTTTATGTTCAGATGGTAAGAACTACTGTATCAAAGTGCATTATAATGGAAAAAATATATATTTAGACACAACTCCAGTTTGCATTTGATCTCTACAAAACTATCTGTTCAATTACATCTTGATGATCTGATACACCAAACTAATAAACTGAATTGAATCAATTAATCTATTTTATTTGGATGATAAAAAGGTCTTTTGTGTATGCATAGAACAACTTTTTATCCAAACTGAATAAGATAAATTGACCTGGTCTATACATTCAAATTCTACAATTTGAAACAAGTCAATTTTGATATCTGAATTGATTCAAAGGTTCAAATCAGTCTGATATTTCTGAATCAAAGAGATCTGACAGTATGATTAGAGCCAATTTGCACAATTTGCTATTTTTATACTGCTGATATGATCAAATTGATCATTCTTACTAAAAATGACTATTCTTATTATGGTTGGTCACACAATCAGCCAGATGTTTAGACTGGCTTTGGCATTTTTATCCATCTATCGAGTCCTTCCCAAGGACCTAGGATAGGCAGATGCTGTTGTTTGATGGTTCAGTGGTGTTAAAGGTATTGTTGCAGGATATAAGCTGTTCCAAGTAAAGCAGCCTTTTGCAATTGACTGAGGTTGATTTTGTCAATGCTGATGGTCTTCAAGTGGTGCTCCAGATGTTTTGGGATTGCACCTAAGGTGTCTATAACTATTGGTACTATCTTTGCTTTCTTTTGCCACAGTCGTTCTACTTCTATTTGCCGGTCTTTATTTTTTGTGATTTTCTCCAGTTCTTTCTCTTCTATTCTGCTGTCTCCACATATTGCAATGTCTGCTATCCAGATTTTTTTTGTCTTTTTTATCAACAATTGTTAAGTGGCAGGTGTTTGTCTGTTTGAATTCTAAAGTCCCAGAGTACTTTAGCTTTTTCATTTTCTATTATTTTGTCTGTTTTGTGGTCCCACCAGTTCTTGCATGCAGGCAAATGGTATTTCTTGCAGATATTCCATTGCACCATTGTTGCTACTTTGTCATGCTGCTGTTTGTTGTCAGTCTGTGCGATCTTCCAGCAGCAGCTAACTAGATTGTCCACTGTTTCTTCAGCTTCTTTGCAGAGGCGACATTTGCTGTCTGTTGCTGTCTTCTCAATTCTGGCTTTGTATGCATTTGTTCTTAAGACTTGATCTTGTGCAGCCAGAATTAGCCTGTCTCTTTCCTGCTTTTAGCCACTGCCAGATCTTGTTGTTATCTGCTTTGTCTGCTAGTTTTTTTTTGTGCACTAGCCATGTAATACTTTTCCTTGCCATGTCTCTTTTCTATTCTTCATTTGGTCTTTCTT